AGTAGTCTTGACTACTCTTGACTAAGAAAAATAATCTGAATAAAAATATATATTTTTAAAAACCACGTTCTTTGTAGTGAATAATAATAATTGAAAAGTAATAATTTTTTAAAAATATAAAATAAAAATTAAAAATTAAAAAAATTATAATTTAAAATAAAAAAATTCAAAATAAAAATAATATTTTTAAAAACCACGCTTTTGTAGTGGAGAATAATAATTTAAAAAAAATTGAAAAACGAAAAACGTGGGGGGCATGAAATACATAACAGTACATATACACATGCATATACACATTTTCTTATTCATACACGTGCACAGTCACATATACATCCCCATACATATGCATATACACAAACATATTCCACATCCACATTCAGTTACAATTTCAGATATACATACACATATTCTCAAGAGCACACATACACACACTAATATAACATAACTGTTATGTATTTCATGCGCCCCACGTTTTCGCTTTTTAAATTTTTTTTAATTATTATTCTCCACTACAAAAACGTGGTTTTTAAAAATATTATTTTTATTTTGAATTTTTTTTCTTTCTATATTATAAGTAGTCATTGAATACAATGGTTACTAAATATTGAAATGGAAAAATTCTAAATTTCACAGAAGACAACAAAGTTTTAAAGTTTTGCTTTACTCCTTGTTCAACATAATTTCCCCCCTTTTATCTTTCCTTTCCTTTTATTTTTTCGTATCAGGAAGTGATAAAAATTGTAAAAAAATTGTTTTCTTATTTATAAAATTTATTTTCTGATTATGTCCCTGGGAATAAGTGAGACAGCGAGATGATTTTTCCCATTTTTCTTAACATGCATATATTGTAAATAATTTCTCTTGCATATCTACATCGCTCTAAGTTTTTAATATCACTCCTTCATCGCCACTGGTAGTCAACCACAGATGAAGAGGCAAGTGCCAAAAGACAGATACCACATCAAATACATTGCATTGAAACTTCATCAGCAGATTTTGGTATTCTGAAGTGTAAGCTAATAATAATTTTTGTCTTGTAGATGGCAAAATAAGACCCACTTCTTTGACTTTTTAAACCCCATGAGATCCTTATTTCAGATGCATCTACATAGCAAAATCATTCCGGATCAAATTACGATAAAAAGTATCGGTACTCAAGGAGCCGGTACTTTTTACCGTAAAATATATTTTTTCCGGAACGTATTACAAAACAAAAAATCTGATATACCGTAATTCTTATAGTAATAATTACCGTAAAATCACTGAATCATTCTCCTTAAATAAATATTTCTGTGCAAATTATGGTAAAATATTTTACAGTAGAAAATGAATTTTGTAAAATGCACTCAAAGTGCCGATACTTTAAACCACAATTTGATCCGGAACTTCTTATTATGTACTGGACATTAATAAAACATTTTTAATAGACATAATCTATTTTTTCTTTTACATAAATTGCATTTTGAAATTTCTATCAGATGAGATTTCCGAAATTTAAATATTTTGATAAATTATGTACTTTAAAATGTATTTAGAATCTTCTGAGGATTAAACATTCATTTATGCTTTTTTTTTAAAAAAAAAATAAATAATGACTAGATTATGTAAATATCTATAAATAAAAATCAATTGAGTGATTTGTTGTTGTGTTGCTATCGGCCCTAATTTTAAATAAGTTTTTTCGAGTAAAAAGAACTTTGAACTTTGCTCCAATGCCAATCTGTTTCAAAAAGAAAAATTAAAGAAAAAAATAAATTTGGAATTTTGGTTGCACTTTTAAAAAATTATTAATTTTATTGTCACTTTTTTTAATAATTATGCTGTAAGAAATTGGCGTATTGACTTACTTTTTCCACCCCACACCATGCAATTTTCGGTATAAGGTCTAGCATAGATGGATCTGGCGCTTCTTTATCAAAATCTCCAATCAGAGCAATACCAATAGATTTTTTATTGTGATATTTTGTATGAGCTCCGACTTTGTACCACGGTCGACCTTCGTATACATGACCATCTCCTCCGATCACAAAATGGTAACCTATGTCTAGCCATTCTGAAAGGAAAATTTATATGATTGCTTTAAAATCGACTAAGTTGTATTTCTGAGTGGCTCACTCAATTTTATAATATTATCTAAATATTCATTAAAAAAATTCCTATAAATCTTCGAAAATATCTTTTTAATCGTTGATATATACATCTTTCTCCCGACTATCCTTAAAAAGCTAATCTTTTTTTTAATTTTGAATAAGGGAAATCTACAAAACTTAATATTTTTGAGTTATGCATGCTGTCCCCACAGCGTCAACGTTTTGTTCGAACGTACAAAATAGAAACGACATATTAATATTTTGTTGAGAATTAAGAACGTTATCAAAATCTGATAAATTACTCTCGAACTGAAAATAAGTGGATTTAAAATTGCCAAGAAAGTTTTTTATAATCGTCTGAAAATCGTAATTCACTTTTATTACTTTCACTTAACCAATTTTAACAATTGTAACCAATTTAGCTTTGATTATTTTAATTCTCTTTGTTTTAATTGGAACTTTGATTGCCAGATTTTGAGATGTTGCATTTAGTTTCTATCAAACATAGTCAAGTAGCAATGTACTACAAAGAAAGACCGCTTATTGCATCATCCGGTGGTACCCTGCCAACTTAGCGTTTCAATCTCCAAAATGATAAGAGATATGAGAAAAAATAATTTACAAAGTTGCATAAAATTGCAGATTTATAACGAATAGACTTTTTCCAAAGATTAATGCTAAGAAAAGAATACTTAAAAATGCCTTAATTTGTTTATGAAATAATTGCGAATTGAAGAAGTGAGATTACGCTGAAAAACCATTTAATTATCTGTATTTACTATTATACTTATTATCTGTATTTACAATTTACTTCTCTTCCCAATCTAAGTTAAGCACTGCACTAAATTTTTATTCCACCTCTACTTGAAATAGTTTTATCTCGTAATCATAGTTACCAACAGTGTTCTAAACAACTGGCGAGTTAAGTTCTTTAGTCCAATCAGGTAGTAGTTCTGTTATTATCTTTATCACGTAAAAAAAATTATTTTTGACCGTTATCTTCTTAGCATTAATTTTTACAAGGTATATATTTTTACTAAATCGATGATATTCTACAGCTTTGTATCTCACATATTGTACCGTTTCAGAGATAGAGACTCTAAGACCGCAATTTTCTATCAAGTGGCGTTATAAACGGTCTGATTTTACAGTGCATAGCCACTTATTATGCCTACCCACCTCTTTTATAGAGACGTGCTAGACAACTGAAAGTGACTAGAAATCAAAAGTTAAGAATTTGAGTAGAAATTTCAGTGAGTACCCTATAAATTGGGGATATTGAACATCCCCCTCTGTATTATAATTAAAAGTATAATAACATTTTTCTTACTGTTATCCTTCTGGTGCTCTAATTGTATTGTTCTCATAGATTTTGAGCATTCTGTAAAAGAAGTACAGGCGGGAGTGACTGTGTGATGAATAATAATGTATTCCACTGGGCCCGGTAGGCACTGGAGTACTCCTGTTGGTTCTTTGGCTCCCCAGTCAGATCGATGAATAAGAAACTTATTCAAGCTTTCACACACCCACCATGGCTCTTTACCTTTAATAAGATATATCTTGTGAAATGACATAAGACTAATGGTTTTCTTGAAATTTATAACTGAACACAGAACTAAATATTTCTATTTATGAACGGTAAATAAAGAAAAAGTTGTGCCTGAATGTTCATTCCTATTTTTTAATGTATTTTTATGATATGTCATTATTGCTCGCTTTTTTTAAGCATTTACTCTGATTGCATTTTTCATTTTTTTTTTCGTTATTAATACTCATGTTTTCAAAAGAAAATATTTATATCATTTAAAAAAATCATTTTAAGGAGAATATAAATGTACAGGTATGACTGCAGGTATATTAGATACATATTGTAATTTGAATAGCCGCTTCTTCACTTTTAAATTTTCAGCTTGAAAATAATAAAAAGCTAATAATCCACTTTTGGAAAAAAATGTATGTTTTTGTTTCGGTGATAATAAGTGTGTATATTCATGAAATAATAGAGGAATAAATGTTTCGAATTTCGCCCATGCTAAATTTTACTGTTTTTCAGAGAGGAATAGATATTAAATGTGCGAAAACAAAGAGAGAAACACCATTTTTCATTTAAAAAAAAGTTATAATCAGCATTAAAATGAGTTTTAACTTCAAACTAACACCAACTCGAGGAAAATTAATTATTTAATCCTAAGATTTTTTATTTGGTACTATACGTTATAAACATACGTTATTCTTCTAGAAATTACTAATTTTTGAAGAAATAGTTATGGTGTTATTGCTATCTAAACAAATAGTGGCAAAAAAAATTTGCTTTTTTTTTAAAAGATTCATCTGCTTTAAATGCTTGAACTGATTATTGTTTTCTTAGTTGCAGAATCAATAAGTTATTATTTTCTAAATCACAAAATATTATAGACCGTGTATATATTATTTTCATTAAGCTTCATTTATCTGTAAAAAGATTAGCAATCAGACAAGCATTTTTAATCAAATTTTAAAAGAATCTACAACGATTACGAATCTATTTCTGTAAAAATTTGAACCTTTTACTGTACAATGATGTATGCCTGTAAATATCTAAAGAAAATCTGAGAATAAAATTTTCCCGAAGCACTAAATTATATCAACCTAGATAACTGTTATATGTTGATCTATAACAGTTATCGATAGTATAATAAATAAAATATGATTTTTAAAAACTTAACTTAAATCGAAATTTTATATTTATATCAACCTTTTTAATTTTTAAACATAGATTATTTTAAATTTTTTATCCAATATTTGAAGTCTTAAATTGTTAATTTTATCTTTTAAAATATTCATATAATATTGAAGTGAACATAAATAATTAGGGTATCTTCTATAATTATTATAATAAATGACTCTACTTCTGTTAGAATTATGAATATTCATAGTAGTTTTTTTTAAATAAAGCCCTTAAATTATCATTGAAAATTAATATAATAATATGTAGAGAACATACGTAATATGTACAGTCCGCAAAAAAAAAAA